AACCAACCTGATTCTATTGTTACCATGAGCACAACGCCCAAATTTTTCGAAATGATCCGGAGCACCTATGGATTATTAACTGTTTCTCCATTTTCTATTCGACTCCATTTTCAACTTTCCTTTCTTCTCCTATTCTTCATCCCAATGGGCAGCCAAAAGACAGCAACCAAACCGGCGCACGAAAGGGCATGGTTAATGGTTGTTCAAACTGAAACTGAACTGAACTGGTTACCCGGTGTTGCAAACAAGGTTATTGTGACGAATAGATATATTAAGAAAATAAGATAAAGACAGACTGTCCGTGTTTGAACACCGCTGTCTACACAACATTGCACTAATCTGGTGGGGTAACCAGACGAGCAGTGCTGAGGTTAGGCGTATAGTTTTAGGCAGTCGCGGTCGNGGTCGACCTCCATGTATTAAGTTGATTGGGGAATGTGTTACGCATGTCACCAAATAGGTTGCCACGGCGAGCGATGTTCGCCGTGGTAGGTGGTGGGTGGAATAAAGCTAACGTCGGTCAAGCTAAGACCTGGCACGAGGGTATGAAAACTCTAACCAGGAGTCTGGGTTCATATTTGTCCTGCTAGGCTCCCTGGATGAGGACCTCGGAACGATCGTAACCGATGGTGAGGGACACTGGGTGGTTTGGCTGAGTAGCGTTCGTGGAAATTCTCAATTTCTTTGCAACCATAGTCTACTGGAATTCTCAATTTTCTCTTTGATTCCACTTTTAACCTTCCTGTCTTTATCCTACTGTCCATCCAAATGGGTAGCCAAAAGACAGTAACCAAAACCGGTGCACAAAATTGCATGGTTAATGGTTGTAAAAGTGAACAGAAACTGATTAAAGCTACACTGCCCCCCCCCTCCTACATTGTTTTGTATCTCGACAGGCAGATAACCAAAATATTTCTGAACATGGATACCGAAAAAGGAATAGAAAGAAATGGATTTTCAAGGACTATAATTGGATGTCGAAACGTATAATACATTACAGCCATACTACTATCAGGGTCAAGTTCACTGATTAGAGTTTTCATAACTTCGAACTAGATTATAATCTGGCCTTTGCCGATTCTGTTCCAGCCACTAACTGTCTCGGTGAACACGGAAAGCAGAGGATTCCAAAACACTGTTAATCATAACATCTTGATCCTCACGATATATGCCTATAACCAATTGTTTATTGATTTGATTGTTAACATTGATTTGGTTTGTTAGGTGCACTTTAATCATATCTTCCAGTATCATATCAACTTTGTACTCTAATTGCATATTTTCTGATCGTGATAATCATTATTATAATAATATACCGGAATGAAGTCTTAATTCCACGTAGATTTCTATTTTTTGTTCAAGTGTCATTGGTTGGCAGATTTAAAGAAGTTGCCTTGCATCCCATTTGTGAAAAAATCACTACGATCAATGGGATTCAACCTCACGCATTGACGCGATCTAAGCATCGATGCAGCTCAAGCACGCAACGTACATGGTCGAATTTATCAGAAGCTCTTGGCCTTTTCACCGTTGGATTATATGAAAACACTTCTAATTGACGAGAGCTACTCAGTATTGCTCAAACCGTGTTGTCTGTTTCTTTCATCATGCAGCTATTGTTCGTTCTTTGGTTAGACTGTTGTTTGTTGCACTGTCACTTCTAACGTGATTTACGCTTACAGGGTAAAATTTAGACTCCCGGTGGATTCAAATCCATACAGTTTAGTCAGGTTTTAAAAACCAAACGCACAAGACATCCCTATTGGAAGCGTTTTGCTTTGCGATAGTCTGTCATTAAACCAACGGCGATAGGTTCTAGTTGACCAAATACAGACTCAACTATAAATGAATCTAATCAAGCCTTTTGTTCGTCTAATCAACACCACTGTAGTAGTCTAGGGAATATGGTCAACCGCATGTGTACACTATCCACAAGGGCCGGCATAATATTGATTTCACAAATCCCCTATTCCTACCGGATGAACAAGGGATATTTTTCTGTCACAGTTGTTACCTTATTCTATCTTCGTATCTTTTGAATGAATAGAGCTAATTTCTTGTTATGTTCAGTTTGGTAATAATTAACCGCTTAAAAATCCCAATATGCTTCTACTGCGGTATCTCAGCCTTGTCCAGTAAACAGGCTATTAGAGTGCCAAACCACTTAACAGTAGTTGAATTCCCCTCAAATCCACGGAAAACTCTACTGTTAATTCCGATTGGATAGTCAATCCGGTGTAATATGCGCAATCTGATGATCGACACGCGAACTTTGGTTAATTTTTTCATCCGGTGGTAAACAAAGAGCTTTGTTGGCCTATTCTTCATCCCTGTAGAACCCTCACTGTGGACCGTTGGCTCACGCACTACTTCAAATCATCCTCCCAAATCAAGGATATTAGATCTATTTAACAGAGTCGGAATCGCATTGTTGTCATTGGAGATACTCTTTTGTAGTGGTTTTCATCATAGATGACATTACTGCGTGATGTCTACAGGGTTTCGCTATGATAAACGACGGATTTTGGCTGTCAAACTTGCCGCAAAACATTTTAGTTTAGGCCCAACCCTTGACTGATTGTTTCATTGTCACCATGCTTCTGAATCCCTTTGGGATGATTTTGTGAATTATCCTTCCAAGAGAATCCATATTCCGTGAGCAGTTTATGAGATCTAGTCAGATTAAGACTTATCCACTAAATTGGAATACCTTATTGAAAGGTACATTTGTCTAATCTCACACGTTCATTCTAGTCTATGAAAAGCCAAGCAACATTTTACTGCCGTCACTTTGATCGATAATGTTTGCGTATTTTCACCGACAAAAATTGATTGAGTCACTTGATCATTTGATGCACTCCTTATAAAAGAGCTCTTTTTCCGAATACATTTCGGTCCGGTCTAGTCATTATTTCTTATTCCCCTTCTCCATTTCTGTGCATCCTATCTCGTTATGTGTGGTAGAAAGTATTAAAAATTCATCCACCCGAGTGCATGTCACTGCTGTGAACTTCACTTAGTGGGTTCAATCCGAAGCGATAACTCCGTAGAATATTTCACACTGGAATCGCATATCTTGCTCCTCGTTCGATCCTTTTGCAACCTGTCGCTGGTCTTTCTTACAAATAACCCTACCATACACAATAAAAATCGAGCAAACCCGTTTAACAATCAAGAGGATCGTTTTTAGCTATGCGTATGTGTTGTGTGTATAGTCAGTCGGAAGCCGAACCAATGGCATACAAAGTGTTAGACTGTGTCGGGGGACCGTGGATCTGGCTTCTTTTACTACACACTTCCGTGTGATGAACAGCGGACGGAGTAAACCCCATAGTCACGAGGACCTGCTGTTCAGTGATGGAAACCGGTAACCTTAGCCCCGGGACTTGGAGCGGTGAACCACATAAGACCCCGATAGGTTAAGCGTGGTATTGAACCGGACGACAGCAAAACTGGCTATCATCTTAGTAATTTGGTAGTCAAAATGTTTTGTATCATTCAACTATTGTTGTGATATTGACCTTTATTTGAGGGCCTATACAAAGACCAATCCCCAGAGAGAGAAAATGGGAAACTTCTGTGGCTTTGTTTCGTTCAAATAGAAGGAGAATTTAGTTTGTTGCTTGGTGATCAGAGTTTGTAGGACCGATCTAATCCACAAGTTGGAGGAAGATTTGAGACTCAACAAAAGCTGCTAGATATCAACCATCCGCGACGGTTCGAAGAGCACCATATCCGGTCCTTCTCACTCTCACTCACGAAAACCGGCTGTTCATCGGCAATCCATTTCATGGTAATACACACCATGAAATACTAGTTTAGCCAGTGAGATCGGGTGTAGGGCTTCAAGTGTTGTTCCAACGGAACTCGGACCAGTTTCTTACACAACCCTGATAATTAGCATACAAGTAAATAATAGATTGTCTAAATTTACCTCGTTCACGAGGATCACCTGGTTCAAGTGGGTCTGTTACATATTTCACACAAAACGTAACGGTAACTTGAGTTAATTCTCGGCATTCGGAAACGTTGTCCGCGATAGTTTAAGCAAACAACAACTGGTGCTATGGCCAGTACCTCTTTAAGTCCTATTGTGTGCACGTGCAATAGGATAAAGGAAGCAATGGCCATGTGCACGCAAAATGTTCAAACATTCCAACTGGTTTGGTCTAGCTTAAGCAATTTGGCGGGACCCGAGATGTCACTAAACCCTAGTGGAGAAAGGTTAGTTATATCAGCTGACAACCCCGCACCCTCTTCCTTCATCACAAGCGTAAAACAATTAGTTGCAACCATACCAGTGACAATTAGTATTCTATAAGCATTATTCTGTGTTACGTGATTTGCACAAGCAGCATAATTAAAAATCAGTGAATATAGTTGTTTGCTTTGCAGTGTGTTTGCTCAATTTATCAATGGTGTACTCAAACTTTTGCTTCCTTTTTTTAGTTAGCTCCCAATCTAACTTCGTACTCTACTCTTATCTCTTGTTCATACCAATACGGTATCCAGGAAGCGATGGACAAGTTGTGCAAACTCATTCCAAAAGAAAATGCAGATGAAATTTTGCACCTATGGCAGGTGGGTTCCTTTGCTTGACTGCTCTCTCATTTTCTGTTTCTGTCCGGTTTGTACACATGCACATGCGACATAAAGTTCTCTTCTGTTACTCATCTTTAGGAATACAACGCTCAATCCAGTCCGGAGGCAGTTCTTTGCAAGGACTTTGATAAGTAAGCCACTCTCTTATCCCGTTCTTTGATTGATACTTTCCGTCTTGCCTACCTACACTCCACATTGGCAATTTGGAATTGGTTTGTTTCAACTTTTTTCCAATTTTCTCTTTCCTCTTAGATTCGAAATGTTAGTCCAAGCTTATGAGTATGAAAAAGAAACACAAGAACCAAACAAATTGAATGAATTTTTCGAAAGCACGTTAGGTGAGTTCACCACCTAAGCCCGATAAACCGCTATGCATTTCTTTTTGTCTACCTAACTGGATCACATGACAAAAGATTTTTCCACCCAGTTCGTAAATGTTTCATCGATAAACAGCTTTGATTACGAGGGCCCAATGTTCGATTAGTGCAAACGCGAAACCTAAATCCTGGGACTCGTAGTGGTACGTGACGCAGGGCCCCAATGGCATACAATCGTCAATTTATTGAATATTTCCAACTTCGATTAGAACTGAAAACAGCAGGAAACAAATAGATTCCCCTTCTCCGGCAAATTGGTTCACATTGCTTTGCCGCAATAATGGAATAGTGTGGTGACAAACGCATCTTACCGGTTGCGGTAATACTCTCTTTACTCAAGCGGCACTTTCTTCGTAAAGGCATTCCAGTTGCGTTGAACAGTGGGTGGTTCAATGTTTGATACGAAACGAAAACCTATTGTGTGGATCTTAACTGATTGAATGTTTAAACTTGGAGGTAAGATAGTACAATTCGAGGCGGAGGGGATCTCGAACTAGACATTCTTTACCTCGTTTGATACTATTAGTCGCTGATTGAATACTGTCGGCGGAAATCCGCGTGAACTAACTGAGTGAATCTCACCCCACGCATTCTGTGCCTGATTCTTCAATCACACTGACTTCTCCAATCTGTTGATCAGCCTTGAAGTTCATGCTTGTTGTAAATATGCCGTCACAGACCCACCGAATGAGAGTCGAAACTGTATATAGAGTTTGCAGCCAAGTAATACAAACAAACAGCAGTCCGATACGAGAAGGATACTGACATTGGATTAGTTGACGAATTTGTCGTTCAAAATTTTAACAGCCTATCGGGAATTGCATCACACTTTCTTGTGGTCTTGTGATCGTTATTTATCTGCCAGTTTGAGGTTCAGAGAGAGTCGAAAAGAACCTAAAGACTTCCAATTACTTGTAACTACGAAGCAATTTGTCGGTATCATTAGCCCACATGTGGACGGGCTTTGATAGACACAGGAGTGCTCGAGTATATCGGAGTATCCCAATGAGGATATAATCTATGTATAATGCATGAAAAATTAATAAACTGAGAAACGCAGAGAGTAGGCAAATGAAGAGACTGGCCGTTTCACCTGTCCACAAGCAGAACAGGCAAAGAGTGAGCATGAAAGATGACTCCACTTTTGCTCAGCACAGACAAAAAAAACGAATCGGTGACCTATTGCATCGTTACCCTGTTAGCAATTACACGAAACACAGGGGATATATATCAGTTACCGATTTCGTGCAATCAAACCCTTTCCATTAATTCGATGCTATAAGTAATTAGGTAATAGTAATACTTTTCCGACGAACAAAAAAGTGAAAAATTCTTTTCGTAATCATGGAAATACGCAGTAGTAAATAGGATTTAAACAAAGAACACAACACTGCTGGCAAGCACGATTTAATTCCGGAATTTCACCGCATCTCAACTGGTGCTTACTGCAGACTACAAATCAGTTTATATATCCCAGGTGTTGATAATCTAACAGAGTATCAGTTCACTCGTCCGCTTGCGTGGTTACCAGGGCAATGCCAGACTGATGTAGTCCTCATTTTGCTGACAAAGCAGGGGCTTTCGGCGCTTGATTTCTATGGCCTCTGCAGGATAGGATTGAGAGATTTGGTTCCGAAAGTTTGTGCACATGTGAAATTGATCCTGCTATCAAATGTTTAACTGGTCGCACACGTGTTGAAGAAGATGAGATGAGCCCGGGGGATTAAGTGCTTGTCCGAATTTCTTCTGAGTACATCAATGGGGCAGTGGTTGTGGATTCGAATGCGGAAAGTGACAGGAAACGCGTGCTGACCAAAGAGGTGGCCTTGGCGTGGTAAAACA